TAATTATAACAAATATTTTTATGAAAAACCAACACAATAGTTAATAATCCTTAGAAAGAGTATCAAGCGCTTGAAACTTCGCCGGTGAGAGATTTCAATCTCTTCGAGCACGAGTAATAAAAAATTGTTTTGTTTTCTTCGACATTGTTGAGCTCTCTTGTTGTTTTCAAACACGGAAGCCAAAGAGAAAGAAAAGGAAAAAAAAGAGTGAGACAAAGTCAGAAACGAAGCCACTCTTTACCTGCTTTGAATTTCAAATTTCCGCCTGGCTCTGCAAGAAATAAAAAAACGGGACAAAGTAATCAAAATCAAGTGCCAGGTACAGGTACCAGTGGTATTAAAAAAAACAGGTACTTTTTTGGTATGTGGGTCAGGCAATTCCAAGCCAACTTTTTAATGGCAAGAGTCCAGAACGAACCATTTTGCAGCCGATAAATATTATTACGCATACGCCGGGAATTTTTCGATTTGAAAGAAATTAAATGTTAAATGTTGTGCTCGTTTCTCGATATGTTCTTTCCGGCGATAGCGAAGCAAGTTTGCTTTTGATGTGCGCCACACTAATTAATTTTCATGTCGATATGGCAATGACAATGACACTGTCATGTTCTGATTGATGGGCTGGAAAATTGATGGAGCGCTCCCAGTTCTCAAATTTATTTAGAACACACCTTTGCGCTCTAATCAAATTACTTAGAATTCATGGGACGATCGCGAAGTTAACTTTTTCCACTAATTAAATTAATTACGATTCATTATGGACATTATCAAATTGTATTCGACAAATTAAAGGCGAAATTAACACAGATAAATCTTCATCTCGCAAATGTATCTCGGCTGGCCTTGCTGATGGATTGTTTTTATGTCTATTTTTTTGTTTTTTTTTTTTGCTAAAACATACACAAAATCCAACCGAAAGCCTCGACGTCGTCACGCCCTCACCTTCCAATTGATGACTATTGTGTGTGTAATTGTTGTTATTATGATTTTTTCTTTTTGTTAATTTCATTTTTTAATGTGCCTGCCGGCCACAATAATTTATTGGGTTTCGCATTTTCTTCAGACCACTTTCAATGGCATATCAAGATGTGTGTGTTTGGTTGAGCATTATCCATTAGCCAACTTCCAAGGATGTGACAAGAAGGCCTACGAAGGTTGTTAAGGCCCAAAAAACAAATCGCGGCGGGCCGGGCAATTTAGATTAAGTTGGCTGAGCACCCGAGATAAGGTTTATTTTTAGGTAGCAGCCACTACTTTATCTTTATGGAGACCTGTTGAGTTAGTTAGCTTCTAGTCAAAAGCAAACCCCGAAGATATAAAGCCTATCAATTATAAAACTGATTGCTGCTGATTGCCTATGAGTCAAGTAAGTTACATGTAGTAACTCAACCCAAAGTTACTGCCAATTTAAATGTCATCTAAACTGGCTAACAGCCATCAAACCAAGTGCATTTCACAGCTCAGAGCCTTAAATGAAAGCCCCGCAAATTGCTTATTAATGATCCTCAGGTTCCATTGAACTTGAATCTCGATTTTCAATTCAATTGCCGTGATTAATATCTGGCAAATAAAGTTATTAATTTTCCCCTCGCGCAGCGCAGTGTATTGATTGATTGTCAAACGGAGATGCACGCAGTTCGGCCATAATTTGTGTTTGTTTGTCCCACAATGATCGTGTAATTATGTTTGACATTTCGTTATCTTTAATTAAATTCAATTTACATTTGTTTTTGTCTCTGCAAATTAACATGGCGCGAGAACACCGAATGAATTAAACAAATGTTCATTGCAAATAAACCATAAATTTCGTACACTTATGCTAATTGAGTTTTGGCCAATTGCGATTCTTGTCAACAGGTCGATCTGGTTTCATTTGCCAATCTTATTTACGCTCCTATATGTGGGTGTATCGGCCTGCCAATGTGTCGAAACTATCATATTTCATTTGATAAAATGGTTATTGCTCCTAATATTTTTTAATGGCCACTTCCTGGGTTAAAAATATTTAGATCAAAAGTGTGATTAGTGATTATTTTTTTTTTTAATTTAAAAAAAAAAAAGTGACAGTAAAGGCCGTTAGTCACACACCATAAGTAATCATTCTGTAGTTTTATTTCGATAAAAAGTGACGCCAAATATCAATTGAATTCCAAGAAATATCACAAGTTACTGTCAGCTCAAGTTATTTATGGGTTTCCTGGGCTTTTGTCGGTGGGAATTCCTCGGGGATTTCTTCAAATGCAGATCACGTTAGGCTGCATTTGATATTTTCACCAGATATACTTTAGCTGAATTTAAAGGAGCCAACGCAGTTTGTTATTGCTTTTGAGCTGATGCCAGTAGCTAATCGTAACTGTTTGTTGACACCCAGATTTTTATGAGGTTTTCCTGCCATTGCTATTATCTCGGGCAGCCAGAGTCATGGGACGCCAGATAATTGCCATATTAAGTGAAGTGTGCGAACTTGGCGATAACATAGCGTCACTTATCAGTGGAAAAAGGGGCGTTGTGTGTTTATCACTTTTCCTGGCATTTTGGTCAAGTGACAGCTCTAAAAACAAATATCACTATTTAAATGCGGCTTAACTAACGAGGTGAAGCCTTTTTTAAGGCAGCCAGCATTTCTCAACTCTCTGATAAGCCCTACATTCTATTTAATTGCACCAAATTAAATGGCAGTCATCACGTTTATAAATAGTTTTATTGGCAGTGCAGCCGGGACTTAGGCTGCGTTTTGCTTCGCAAATATTTGTTAAGACCGCTTGGCGCGTAGACAAATTAATTAACACCCACTCATTAGCACTCAACTACGAGTGGCTGTGGCTCGAGCAATAATGACAAATGAAAGGCTTCTGCCAGGAAGTAAACACCAAAGTGTTATTAAACAAATTAATTAATCAAACTATGCAAATTGTTTGAACAGACTGTGCAAAAGGGCAAATTGTTTGAACAACAAGTAAACAATATTAAGCTATAACTTTGAGCTTAATTTTTGTTACTTTTGAATGAGTCTTTGTTTAATTTATATAAAATGAGCTTAGGAAAATGAGGTGTGAAATTCTTTGACGTAATTGCATTAAACGTGCGCATTTGCATTGCCTTTGGCGTCACATAATACGTTAAATAGCTTATTTTTTGCGCCACCTTGTGCAAACTGCAATAAAATTACTCCAGTTAAATATTAATGAAAAACTTGCACAAAAAATTCTAGCACCATGCTAAAACTAAAACTTTAACAACAGAAGTTCTTTCTAATTAGTTTTTTTTTTTTGACTAGTAGTTCCAGTCAAACAAACACCAGTCTGTTGTTTATTCGTTTAAGATTTTTTTTTATTCCAACTTTGTTGACTAAGAGCTGCATAAAAATGACAATAAGCTGACAAAAACTAATAATTAATTATGATTTGGCATGCGCTGCGCAAGTCTCAATCAACTGTTTTTTTTTATAGATTTATTTTCTGATTTCTGTGTTTTGTTGCGATTACTTATATTGGGTTCTGGTCGGTCTGTCTTTTCCATTTGCAGAAATGTCGAAATTCGTTGGCGTTGCCGACATAACCGAGAACAAGAAAATCTGGCGCATGCTGCTCGGCGAACTGGTGGGCACATTTTTCTTGGTCTTCGTCGGCGTTGGCAGCACGACGAGCGGAAGTGTACCACAAATCGCATTCACCTTTGGCTTGACGGTGGCCACAATCGCCCAGGTAACTATACGCATATAAATTTAAGCTAGGATGGACCACAGATTTATGTTTAATTTAATTTTTTTAGTTTTACTTTTACTTTTAATTAATTAATTTGATTAATTTTCAATTTACTGTCAAATTTACAAGCTATAAAAAATCTTCCTTTACCTTCTTAGTTTTCAATTTTTTTTGTAAATTCAAAAATAATAAGCTTGACTTATGTTTAACTTTAAAGACTTTTCACAAACTTTTAATTACTTCTTGGATACCTTTGTATTAAAAAATTACAATTCATATTTAAATATAATTCATATTTTAATGTTTAAAAGGTTCTAAATTATGAAGTAAATGTCATTTTTTCGAAAACCTCTCGTTATATTTTGGTCCACCCCTATGAACCTAATACAAATCGTACAAAGAGAACGCATCGAGCTAGAGATTTCTGATTTGAGATCTGCTATCCAAGTCGGAGATTTTGTGGCCCGAAGTCGGCGGTGCGTGCGTCGATCGGCGGACATTTTCAAGGACACGCCACCGCCGCGTTACACTTTCGGCTCATTCACAAACGCTGCGCTTTTTGGCCAAGAGACATTGGCATTTAAAAGCGACAACATAAAAATAACAAAAAACAAAACTAAAACGGCAGAACGAATGCTGAGCTCGCCGCTCAAAACTCAAGACTGCGTGCGAATGTAATTTACAAAATTGACAGATTTACAAACGCACACTGGAACTCACTCGCAGTGCGAATAATAAATGCGCGCTCGCAGCAAAAGCGTCTGCGCTGGCAATTAACATTAATCAACACGCAAAATATGCAATTAGATTATTATGCGTTTAATTACGCTATGCTGTGCTGTGCTGTGCTGTTCTGTTCTGTGTGGAGTGACGACTGTTGCTGTTGTCGTGCTTTAGCATTTAAAGCGATATGCGCTTTGCATTCGATTTATGGCACCACAAAAGTCAAGCTCAACCGACCAAATCCATCAAGAACACGAAAAGGCTTCTATGATGTTCTATTTTTAGCTTCCATTTCATAATTTCGATTTGTGTTTATACATTTATTAATTGTTTTATAATGTTGGGTGGTAAAATAAGTGAGTTCTGAATAGTCCAAGAAGTAGTAATAAAAATGTTTTTTAAAATGAATGTGTTAGTAAATCAATTAATTATTAGATTACATTACTTGCTAAAAAAAAGAGTTTTTAAAAATCAAAAATAAACAAGTTTCTTTACGAACAAAAAAAACAACTAAAAATTAATTTTGGTAATTTTTTGAACAAATAAAATTTAGCAATAAATTTGTATAATGATTGAAAAGTATTTGGACAGTAATGGCTTTAAAGTACTACTTCACCGACATACATGTCGTATGAGTAATATGGATTTGCAAACACTTGTGAAAAATGTACTCCTTTCAAACTTCTGGTTACAACTCAAAAGTTGCAATGCTATTATCATAATGACCATATTTAACCAAACCGTAAACAATAAACTTTTAATATGAATGTAAAAAATTACAATATTTGTAATAATAAAACATTTTGAACATTTCATTTTCACTTTGCAAGCACCTTGGTAAAATGTCCTCCTTTCCAATTTCTGATTACGAACCGAAAGATGCAATGTAACAATCATATTGAAAGCGTTAATAATAACCATAATGAAATCGAGTAGCATTATTGGCAATATAATGGAAGCTTGTCTCTGCCATTTTTCCGCGGAAAACACTTGCAACATAGATTCGCTATTAGTGGCAAATTAGTTGCCCCTCGCTTGCCAAATCACGTGAACAGATCGGTCACATGACTGCAGGTAGTGGCAGATTTTCCAACTTTTCCACCTTTCCATGTTTTCTATGACGTTGCAGCACGAGTCGCGATCAAATGGTAGCCAGATAAACTCAGGTATGCATTGCTAGTTTCGCCAGCAGGTGTGACGACAATGGTAATGCTCGTTCGTCATCGTTATCGCTATTGCTATAAGCCAAACCAAAAACAAAAAATATAGCCCCTGCAATAACTGTTCAATGGAGCAAGACGCGTGGCGTCAAATTGGAAAACGTGCTAATTGCCAGCTTTTGAGTGACCAGTAATAGTGTTAGAAATAACTCAAGAAATATGATATATACTAAGCTCCAGTCTTAGCTATCGAGTTCCTCGAGAGCGGCACTTCAAATGCAAATCTCTGGCAGATCCGCATTTGTATGCAGTTTGCATCTAAAGGAAGTGATTTAAAGAAAATGCTAATAAAATGAAATTTAATGCAACTAAAAAAGCTTAGAAAAAATGGCAAACAATACGACGTGCATGGAAAAATTTATATGAAGCGATCTCAATGTGGGTTGTATATTGTCATGTCATGTTAACCGATTGTTATCAAGTAAGAGGGCTTGCCAAATTATTAGATGTTTGAATTGAATTTGATTACAAAGGAAAATTACAGAAAATCACTAAATTTAAAAATAAAATATTGATATCGTCATGCTATAATTTTGCTTCAAATATATATAATAAAAACAAGCGGCTTCAAAATTTAGTTCTGAGTCAACTTAATCCCATTATATGATGCAGGCGGCTTTAAAACAAAAGCAACAAAAGAAAAAAAAAAAACTAAGTGCGTGCAGCGTTCACGTTTTTGTTTTTAATTCGCGATCGCAATCGAATCAAGTTGGTTGAACAAACTTCGACTTCGACTTTGGCTTTGGCCCGATGCGAACTTGAATTGAATCGGCCAACAAGCAAGTTGGCAGCAAAAAAAAAACCACAACAACAATCGCCAAAATGTTGCTGAAAAGCAGAACGAAACAAACAAGTTAACATTCGATTTTCAGCTGAAAAGCCATAAAATATGATTTAAGCGTAAATGTCGATCTGCAGTTTCCACTGCACATGCGTAAGCCAATCGATCTCTGTATATACATATAAATATATCTCGATCGGTAGAAAAGATTTGCCAGACTTTTAGTAGCCAATGGAAAACCTTGAAAACTTGGAGAGTTCTAAAACAAAGTAATGAACAAATTCTCAGTTGATTTTAGATTTATTTAAGTGGACTGCTCTATAATATTATTATTAGTTTGCGAATCTTTCGAATAAGAAAATATTATTTGCATTTTATAAACAATATCCCTTAAGACTGGTTTACGGACATCCGACTGCTATGGATTTTGAAAACAAATGATAAAACACAAATCTTTTTTTTTCTTAATTTAGATAGATTTTTCGCAAACAAAGTAAAGATTTGCAGTGCAATTGTTATCATTCATGGTAGTCTTTCCGTTGAATGTTCGTATATCCACACACTTGCCGTCCTTGGTGGGTTCACCATCTGCCCAACTGAGGAACTTGGCTTTGGATCCTTTAGTTATAGACACGTATTCATCATCCTTGAACTGAGAGGTCACGTCGATCCAGTAGCGATTCAGACCATAAAATTTACTGCCAATGCTATCAAGTTCCTCCTGATTTTGTGGGCTAGCCAAATGGCCACCTATCATATGACATTTTTCCAGAGCATCGTGCCAGTTCAACTTTAGATCCTTCTCAATGTAATACGATTTGTTACCCAGTTGAAGAAACATGTCAATCCTTTCCAATTTTCTAGCTTCCGGAGTTGGTGCTAATAATAGCTGAGAATTATTTATATTTTCCGAATGAATTGTCAATGGAGAGCCAAAAGAATCCAGTCTTCGATCGTTAAGGGCAATTCTCGCAATAGTAACAGCAGCCTCACAGGCTTCCGTCCTCCTTTGTAGGATCGCCATGTTCGACATACAGGGATTCAAAAGCCCAAAACAGTAAGCTGCACACTGGGCTTGACATTCTTCCCCCTAAAAATATATATATATTCCTTGAGCTTTTTATAGTTCAAATAAATTTTAAATTCATCACTTACCTCGCAAACTACTGAATACGAGGTCCTTAAGTAAATTGACAATACCACTAATACAATAGACAACCGCATTGCTCTGACTGTAGTTACTTGTCTATCCGCAAATCAAAACCAGACTGACTTAAATGCATCTTCAGCAAAGATATTATGGAGCAGTGAACAACTTTATGTGATTATCGAAAAAGCAGCAAATATTACGCTGCAAGATAAGAGATGTTTACTACATATTTCCATACTTAACCAATATAAGACGTTATTATCATCTTACACAGAGCAAAATACAAAGCGTCCGTAAAGCATATTTAAAAATACTTAACCAATATAAGACGTTATTATCATCATACACAGAGCAAAAAACAAAGCGTCCGTAAAGTTTATTTAAAAATATTTTATTTCAAATTTGTATACCACTTTAGTATTTAAATAATGTTCAATATAGATGTCATTTAATTATTACTTAATATCAACAATATAGACTGCTATTAAGTTAATAAATAACTAAAAGCTCTTTACAAAAATGATCAAAATATGTATTTCAGCTATTTTCAATCCATTAAATCATAGGCCTAACTCGATTTCAATCATATTTCATCGATGACTCATGTCTAAGTTCAGATTTCACACGCAGCCGGTCCGTCGATCGCGATTGCTTTCGTTGCATATATTAAATTTAATTATGGGTTTCGGGCTCGACAATAAATTTGATTAATTTCACGACTGTTCGAGTGTGTGCAATTAAGAGGAGGTGGGGGTATGGAGTTGAGAACAATAGGCCTACTAGTAGTAGTAGGTCCAAAATTCTGATCTCAACGATTAGGCCAGGTGGAGCGGCAACAAAAGCGGCAACTTAATGTTATAGACGAAAACGAAAAATTGCAATGCACGCATGAGCATAACCAAAATGTCTAGAAGTTGTTCGAGTTGTAGTTGCTGCTCGGATTTGCTGTTTGGGCCGCAAACTCGACTCGATCTTGCTCTTGGCGGCATTTGTAATTAGCGTTTTGTGGTCGAGCGGCCAACACAGGCTTATTTTTTTTTTTTTTTGCGCATTTATTAATTAAACGCAAAGCGACGCACGACATTGGCCATGCGAAATCCATATCGAAATCGAATTCGTATCACCGAAACGTAGCAAAACACGGTTGGAAAGAGATATCAAACATAGAAGCCTGCACATCGACCTTGAGAGTGCGCAGTGTGATCGGTGCGTTTCGGCTTCATTCATAACACTCGATGCGATGCGATGCGATCCGATCGATTTGTTGGCAGTTTAGCTGGCTGTTTGGCTGTGGTTTCCATTTAAGTGCCAACCATGTGATCTCTTCGCGGGCAATGACTCAACAGAACCCCCCAAATCACTTTTACTTTCGACCTGAACTTTGCCGACACACTACTATAAACACAATAAATGCACTCGAGTGCATCGCAGCTCTGACAAATTGCTTGTATCCGTTGGCAGTTCGATGTGTAAGCGATTGTGCAACGGAAAATTCGAAAAATCTAGCCGAAAATCAGATGCCATGGCAAAGGGCAAACATTAAACGGAGATGGTTAAGATGTTGCGTTGTCAACTTGACATTTGCAAGCAGCGATCGAGGGTGCGATAGGCTATTATGCTTGAATAGGTTTCACCTTCAATGATCTTTTCCATATTTAAAAATAAACACAATTAATATCCTTTCGCCTAGAAATATTATTGGAGATGGGAAAATTAATGATAATGCTGCGATAAGGTAACACACATCTGTTAAAAGTAAAGAAATAAGAGTAATTCCATAAATTTTGTGGTCTTAAGAAATATTAATATAATTTTTTAGGGACATTTTTTTTCTTTAAAAGTGTTTGAACTTAGAGTGAATTTAATGAATTAATGAATTTAAATTTAGTTTCCTTTTGAAAGTTATATTCGTTGAAATGATTTGAAACTGAAAACAATACATTTTTTTTTTCATTTAAAAATATATCCATTATAATATCAATATTTTTAATACTTTTCAGGGCTTGGGTCACCTGAGTGGCTGCCACATCAATCCGGCTGTCACCCTTGGCTTTCTGATCGTGGGCGAGATCAGCATCCTAAAGGCGGCTTTCTACATCATTGTGCAGTGTGTGGGCGCCATCGCAGGAGCGGCTGTGATCAAGGTGGCTCTCAATGGAGTGGCTGGCGCCGGACTCGGAGTTTCGTCCTTTGATCCCTCCCTGGATGCTGCACAGGCGGTGCTGATCGAGGCGCTGATCACCTTTACTCTGGTGTTTGTGGTGAAGGCGGTATCGGATGCCGGTCGTCAGGATATCAAGGGATCGGCGCCACTGGCTGTGGGCTTGGCCATCACCGCTGGACATTTGTGCGCAGTAAGTTTAAAAAAAGGATAAATCTTATTGAAAGGTTAATAAAAACTATCATTTTACAGGTTAAACTGAGCGGTGCCAGCATGAATCCCGCCCGATCCTTTGGACCCGCCGTTGTCCAGGGTGTTTGGACCTATCACTGGGTTTATTGGGTGGGTCCCATTGCCGGCGGCCTGCTGGCCGGAATCCTCTATCGATTCATCTTTAAGGTACGCAAGGGCGACGATGAGGCCAACTCGTACGACTTCTAGACAGTAGCCGAATACCAACATGTTCTTGTAAATGTCCGCACCTGCTTCCCATCCACCCATCACCCATTCGCTTTCCATCCAGCCAGGGTCACATCGAATTCGTTGCCGAAATTTCTCTTAGATTAGGTTTGCTCCACCCTCCAATCAACCAGAACTTTTCACACAGCTGTACCATTTTTATTTGTTAAAGAATAAAAAAACACGCAAATGTCTTTTCTTAGTTGTAACGCGAAGCTAACACTTAAAGTATGCAATGTATTTGAGTAATTTTAAGCTAAATTATATGCACAACATCATTACGCGAATCGAAGGAAAACTGTATTGAAGCTTAACTAAATTGTAACTCGAAAGCACTTTCCCATGGAAATCCAAATCAGCAAATAAGGTTCATTTCCTCTATTCAGTTGATCACCACTTGTTGAGCACCTACGAATTGTATTATGACTATGTGTAATAAAAAAAAAAAGAAAATACAACTGTGCGTCTTTGTCTATATGTCCTGGGGCTTAAATCATTTGTCATCAATCGCCTAACAGTGTATTAGATTTTATAAAAACTAATTAAAAAGCAGCTAAGCATTCATTTGGTGACATTTACTAATTTCTCAAGTTTAGAAGTATGCTGCTTATGAAGTGAAAACAATTGGGAATAATTTGCCGTGATTTGCAAGACGAGAGCTAAATGGATACCGCTTCTTTTTTTTAAATGTTAAGCGTGCGTAGAACCGTCTTTTGGGATGTTTGTTTATGTGCAGAGGCTAATGTATAAATTTCAGCTTAAGAAAGGCAGCACACCCTTCCAAAACAATGAGTCATTTTGGTCACTTGATGCCCTAAAAATCCCCGTAATGGCTTGGTTTGCATTTAGTATCCTTTGCATACTTGTGATGATGTACTGCGTGCTAACGGAAACATAAATTGGATCAGAGAATTTGCATATCATTACGTTAATTGAGTGGAACATTGAGGTATTTAATTAACTTTATTTAAACTTTTACGAGAAGACAAGGGTTTTGTATGCATTTCGGTTTTTAAAAATAAATTATTTCCAATTACAGCTATGATTAAGGGCTTAAATCTCAATCCCCAAATGAAAAGGATAATGGACGGATAGGACATATACAAATTTATGGCAAATCTCTTGTTTCGCTGAAAATTAGTTAGCAAATATATTTAGAGATATTTAAATTATTATTAAAAATAAGTATAAATTATAATAAATATATTAATAAATTATCTGCTGATTATTATGAAGCCTATTTTACACCAACTGAAAAGTGTTTACTTCTAATCTACATTGTACAATGTATTTTACATTCGGTTAGCTAGGACACAAACCTGATTGTATTTGACATTCAATTTTATTAGTGGCGGTTTAATTTAAGCCCTACATGACGTCAAAAATGTTATATCTTAGAAACAAAAAATTTTAGAAAATAATGTATTTAAAATGTTAAAAATTGTATTTTTGATAAAATTTAAAAAACATTACAAATGTATTTTAAATTTAAGTTCCAAGCGGGCTTAGATAAATCATCACTACCTTACGGCCATAATTTTGATGACGTATTAAAACTTTTATTTATTTTAACAAATGTTTAAGAACTTTTTTCCTTCAAATATTATAATTCCCTTTACAAAAGAACTTTACTCATGACCGTAATTTTTTGAGTCATTGTCTTTTTCATTTCTTTACTCAATTCATTTCCGTTGTGACGATAAAAACGTTAAAATCGAACAACAAAGTGTTACAAGGTAAGTTGCCCATGCGTGCTCACCCACCCGCAAGTAATTTGAGCGATTCAAAAGCCAATTTCGCCACTAATTCTGATAAGCCATTTCGGTGACCACTGTAAAAAATTGTGCTCACTGTTGTTCACTCAACCAAATATTGTTTAGACGCCAGCATCTTATTGTTGAGTGTTTTAGGCTTTTGTCGCCTTTGCATATTCTGTTATCAGCCCTCAGATATTTTGTGTGAGTCGGTATAAGTGCGTTAAACACCATAAGCTCTGTGGCCCAAGCTCAAGCTTTTATTAGCGTTTAGTTTCAGAATTAATTGTAATCAGCACAGCACAACGCAGCTCGCTAGAAATGAAGTGCGCAATTGAAATCGCCAGCATTTTTTTGTGTTTCTTGGTAGCTGGAATTTGGGCGCAGGATGTAAAGCCAGAGCGGCCAGTAGATATTAGGCCAACCATTCCAACTACTACAACAACAGAAGCAACAACTTTACCTGACACAACAGAGAAATCAACCATACCAACAACAGAATCCACAACAACAGAAGCTACTACAACAACAGAATCTAGTACAACTACAACAACAAAACGCCCTACAACTATAGTTACAGTACCCACTACAACCTCAACAACAGAACCAACCACAACATCAACAACACAAAGGGTACCAATATATCCGCACTACCGACCTCCCCACGTGCAACCCACAGACTCTACTAAGAAGCCTTGGTTCGTAATGGAACCGTTGGAAAGGTGTTTTCTGAGAAACCAACTGGAGTACAGTACTTGTAAGTGTGATGTAAAAGTGAGAAAGATTAACTTTAAAAAGGGTCCAAGGTGAATCACATTTCATCTGCTTGCTTTTCAATTTGCAGGCTGGCGAAACCCCCCGACGTCGAGCTGTTATCACTGCTGTTACTATTACGACAACCACATCACCGAATGTAATAAGATCCACCATGGGCCTTGTTGGTGGTATGATTATAGGCAGTTAAAAGTTCATGTAAATTGGAAAAAAGTGTAATATAAACGAAATTGAACTGCAAACGAAATAAAACAATACAGCTTTCAATATAAGGATGATCGAAAGATATGATCATACTAAATTTTTATTATTTACATTTGATCCAAGTGTGTAAGTCTTAAAGTGGAAAAGTTCTTGTAGCTATAAAAACCTAATAAACATATTTCGTTTTTCATTTCTCTTTCGCTTAAACAAAATTTAGCGCCGCATTTTTTTTTTTGTGTGTATGTACAAGAACTTTTGTATTCTCAATCTTTAATCTGATAATCACTTTTTGTATCCACTGTTAAAAGATCTACTCACATTTGTTAGCTCAACCAAATTTTTTTAAATGCCAGCATCTTATTTTCTAATAATTACTCAGTCCTCCCTGTTGGTTGGCGTGCTGTTATCAGCCCTCACCTTTTGCGTGTGAGTCAGTATAAGTGTGTTAATGACTATAGCTCTACAGCTATAGCCCAAGCTCAAGCTACTCGGGACTGGCGATCGGTTTCAGTATTCGATGCAACCAGCTCACGTCAACACAGCTCGCTAAAAAAATGAAGCCCGCAGTTAAAATTCCCATTGCTTGTTTGCTGTTTCTGGCGACTGAAATTTTTGCTCAGGATGTAAAACCAGAAGTTCCAGTAGATATTCCGCCAGAAGGATGGGAACCGACGATTCCAACAACTGAAGCTTTAGCAACATCAACAGTCGAACCATCCACAACTTCAACAACAGAACCCACAACAATTCCAACAACAGAGCCAAGCACAACTTTAATAACTGGACCCACCACAACATCAGCAACAGAACCCACAATAACTTCAACAACAGAGTCCACCACAACTTCAACGACGGAATCCACCACAACTTCGACAACAGAACCCACTACAACTTCAACAACAGAGCCATTCACAACTTCAACAACTGAAACCCTCACAACATCAACAACCGATTCAACCACAACTTCAACAACAAAGCGTACATTACCTTCATCAACACAACCCACAACACCTTCAACAACGCAAGGGGATCCATTATATCCAACCTACAGACCCATCTATACGCGACCTATGACTTCAAGGCGGCCCATTTACCCTACCAGGAACCCTTGGATCTGGCACGATCCGACAGAAAAGTGTTATCTCAAAAACGAATACGAGTACAGAATGGTTTGTTATGGTAAGTTTAATAAGGAAGGAAATATATATGAATCATTTATTTGTTTGCCTTTTAATTTGCAGGAGGGGGCTGGCGAACGACGGCGATTTGTTATCGCTGCTGCTACTACGAGAACAGCGGTTTTGCCGGATGCAGTAAGCTTCACCAGGGACGTTGTTCTTGGTATGATTCTGGACGATGGTGAACACCCAAGACACAAACTTTTAATCTGGCTTAAAGACGTTTTGCCTTTTTTTTTGTTTAAATATATATATACATATGTATAATTTATTTAAAATCAAAGCTAAACGGACTTAAAAAAACTTTTTACAGACCTCAATATTAAAGTTCATTTTTTGGCAAAAAATCAATTTCGATTATTTCCGTTTAACATATGTAGTTAGAAGTTAAAATTAAGTCTTCTTAAAAGATTAAACTTTTGGATTTAAATATTACATAATAAATACATAAATTGTTATAATTTGTTTTTTTTTTTAATGTTTAACACATGTTATATTTTATTAGTTTAATCTAAATGTTTAATGATTAATCCAATTTTTATAATAGAACATGCATAACGTTCAAAAAACAAATATAAAAAGAGTGTATACAATATCAACGGCTCGGCGCCATTAGTCAGCAAGAATTTTGAACAAGAATTTAATCAGCTATGTGTGTAGCTCTACAGCCAAAACCCAAGCTAAGCTACTTGGGATTGGCAATCCGTTTCAGTATTTGCTCTAATCAGCTCAAGTCAACACAGTTCGCTAAACATGAAGTCTCTAGCAAAAATGTTCTTAATATTTTTGTGTTTTGTGGTCGCTGGAATTTGGGCACAGGATATACCGCCAATGCCTCCAGTTGAGGATATATCGGAATACCAACCAGATTCACCTAGAACTTCAATAGAAACTACCACAACAGAAGCCTCCACAACTTTATCATCACAGCCCATCACAACTTCAACAGTACTGCCAATATATCTGGTTCCCAATGTTGTGCCTTCTTCTGTCGAACATGTCAAAAACCCTTGGATCCGAAACAAAAGGGCAGAAAAGTGCTATCTAAAAGACCAAAAGGAGTATAATAAGATCGGTAATGGTAAGTATGGTGAAATAATTTTGCAAATATGTGGGCAAAGTTAATCACGCTTTTTCTCAACAATTTTTAATTTGTAGAAGAGGGCTGGGAAAAGACGACAAGCTGTTATCGCTGCTGCTTCAATGACGAAAATTGTGCCGGCGAATGCATTAAAATTCACGATAGGCCTTGCTTATGGCAAGATTATGCACCTGCCGCACATGTGCTTTAAAAAAATATGGTAAAAATGAAATAAAGCTGGATGTAAAATACAGCCAATTCATTGTTTTAGCAAAAGATTTGCAATCTATATATTTGAAAGTGAATGTATGTTTTATTTAATGACGACATAATTTAAAACTGTAAAACTCATTTATTTGTTTTTAATATTTGCAATTAAAAGTCTTAATGTCGCAAAACATTTGTATACATTTTGAAAGTAATCACTCTAGTCCAGAGTATATACATTGCCCAAATTGAGGAAGCAGTCCTTGAGGTTCTGCTGACTCTCACAGAAATCGGGAAAAGGCGGGGCCAGCACTTCATACATAATCCTGATCAGATCAATGAACTTTGCCAAGGCCTTGGAGTATTCCCCTGTTTCGTACAGCCTCTTGGCTGTGCGCGTCATCATCTCGGTGTCCTGCATGACCTTTAGGCCTTTCAGGATGTTGGTGATCTCGCCACAGTTCACACACTTGACCATGAAGTCGTTGCAACTGGGTGGTACCTCAATCACCGCCGTACAGTTATTCGGTGCATCGCAACGGAAGCGTATCACATCCCGAGGAAGATCATCGAAACGGGGCCAATTGTCGATACAGGCATCGCATGAACACTCGAACCAGTAGAGCTCCTTCAGACGCGCCTGGCGATCCGATCGCTCATCTTGGGTGTACATGGGTCCATAGTTCTCGTTGATCGGAAGTCCAGCTTCGATGGGTCGTACACTGTTTATGTGGATGGTGGTGCCGCGGAAGTAACGCACCACGCCCGGATCACAAGAGTGATTGAACAGGGCCAAGGTGGGATAGATGGCTCCGCCAATGAAAATGGACTTCTCCCGGCCAGACGAACTGAATTTGTGAAGCTCCGCCACTTCATGAGTATTAAACTGGATGAACTGCAGACTGCGCAGCACCAAGGAGCATATAATGGCCACCTGATCTGGCTTGGGTTCCGATCCAAAGTAACCTCCGGCCCGGAGACATTGTGTCAAAAAGCGAGCCATCAGGACGTGCTGGAAGAAATTTGAGGGCTGCCGTTCACCCTGATGCCTCTCCAATTGAGCCACTCTGCGGAAGTCATCCTTAGGTAGGCTAAGCAAGTTGAAATTTAATTTAGCACTAAGAAACAAAGTAAAGTAAAGTAAAAAACCCACCTGATCAGTTGCTCCGGTGTCAGCACCTCATCAATAGTTGGCTTTAAGTTGAGGAAGTAATCCAATGGTTTGCTGGCAATGATCCTCAAGGCAATGTGATTGTTAATGGAGGCACCTGAACGCCAGAGAATTGGAACTATTCCACACTCGTACTTATGATACTTCTTGGAGGCCTCTTCACGACATTGCTCCGAGCAATAGAGAACATCGGCACAGCGAGGACAGGCCACGGGAACCACAGTCCTTGGGGAGAATAGATTAGAGCTTATAACAAGATCTTCCAAGGTATAATTACCAATCTATATTACCTCACAAAGCAATTCTCGCAGTGGGTCTTGGCAAACTTCTCCAGCAAAACTGAGACAAAAGGTCGCTCCACTAGCAGCTCTTCACCGGGCTTAATATCTGCAGAGGCTCTGGCATAACGACCCTCCTGTGGATTGCTATCGATCCTCACCAGAGGACTCACTACTTCAGTCTCCAACTTAACTGGTTGGGCTTGATCCAAAGCTATCTTCTGTTTTTGCTGTTTGGCCTCCTGTTTTGCGGTTCTTGGATCATGGCTCAGCATTTTGATCATGGTCATGGCATCCAAATTGAGTTTGGCTCGCTTGTCAGAGGTCAATGTGGAGTCATCCATGGTGGTGATGCACTTTCTTTGGGAGAATGTGTCGTATAGTAAAGGTAACGTTTTGATTGCCTTTGAATAAGACTCACTTGAATGCCTCAATTGTATGTGGATAGTCCTTGAGAGCCATGTAACAACGAGCCTGTCGTTCGTACAACTTGTAGATCAAATCCTTGGGATAGCCTAGATCTAAGGCTCTTCGAATATCAATCAGGCATTCTCTGCAAGTAAGAAAAGAAAATGTTTTTAAAATAATTAACTATGCTTTAAGCCGTTTTCAGTTTAAAGAAACCTTTTCCAAAAATTTTCTTTACAGATCACCCATTTATAGTACGTTATGTACTTACAACTAAATACTTACTGATATTTCTGCATGTGGTACAAAGTGGCCGATCGATTAGCCAAAACAATACGTATTTCTGCCACTGAAGAATATATAAGAATATAAGTACTGGCTGGATCAACTACTACTTGTCAACTACTTACCATTTTCACTGGGCAGCGCCACATAGCTCCTGGTGTACAACATCATGGCCTCCAGCCACTTCTTGGCCTTGAAGGCGGAGGTGGCCCGCTCCTTGATCTCCGCCGCTAGAGTGGCGTTCTTGCCGGCGAACTCCTGGTTCACCACCAGGTTGGCATCCCCTGCCTGCACCCAGGGCAACTTTTCCACATACGCCACGCGCTCCTCATCACTCTTGCACGATGACAATTTGGCAATGTCCGACTCGCAACTGGAACCCGCCTGATCCTTGAGCTTCAGATAGTATTCGGCAAAGAAGCCCGTCTTCTGGCTAAGTGGAGTTTTCATTTTATCTACACTTTTCAACTCAAAATTATGCAAGTTTAAAGAATTTTTCAAAATTTTTCTGTACTCTCAGCTAGAAAACTGCAGATGAACTGAATGGGTATATCGGGAAAATTCGACGACAACGTGTGATATAAAAACAGCTTTTAGGGGATTTTATTTTTAGACGAAGAGAGTGTGCCAAAGAGAAAGCAAAGAGAGTGACAGAAAAAAGATGAGAGAGCACAACATTTGTTTACTAACAAAAATGCCGACACATGCTAGTATACGTAGACGTATTTACTAAACACGGAAAAGCATTACCGAATAATTAAAACTCATACTAAATTTGGCAAAAAAAATTGGGTGGAAAATGGAGGAGGGAGAAGTGCGATTTTTGGCAACGCTGCGTTGTTCGCCTCTTTAGCTCAGTGGTAGAGCACTGGTCTTGTAAACCAGGGGTCGTGAGTTCAATCCTCACAGGAGGCAGATGGGATCTGCATCTTCAATTAGTTCTCGGGATATTTTGTTAATTTTTGACGCCCTAATATTTTAAGCCGAAGCTTAAATAATTTGAAACCAATGCTCAGTATATAAATAATGAGTTAACAACAACAAATAATAATATACTTGTATATATTTCTGGAAATTTTTTTAAGTCGCATCAACCTTTTGAATTAATAGAAAAAATAATAAACACCGAAAAATCATTAATTAATTTGCAAGAACAAGTTCTAAGAAAGTCGATTCAAGAAATACTTTTAGAGAGTCTTTAAATGTTCCTAAATACTTGAATGTGTATCGATTTATGCCTGGATTCAAATATCGAAATTGTAAAAGACACAAAATTAAGAGAAATAAAAATAAATAAAAATAAAAAAAAAAGTTAACAGGAGAGTATGCCTCCTGTGAGGATTGAACTCACGACCCCTGGTTTACAAGACCAGTGCTCTGCCACTGAGCTAAAGAGGCTTGGGCAAGGCGGCCGGCAAAAGCAAAACTTAAAGTGAGCGTAGTTCGCTGGCAGTTGTTGCTGTCTTTTAACATTTGCTTGCCGCGGGTAGTTCAAAAAGTTGTAGTTATAATTGCCGGGTACTTTGAGAAATTGGCTTCGTGTCAAAGGAAATTAATGTTGGCCTTATCTGGCATCGGCACTTGAGCGAACGGCAGCTGACTGAGTTCTTCGGCTGATGAAGACAAGTCGAAGTTCAAAGCGAATTGCGGGTGTGCAGCTTCGAGTGGCAATTTGTTATGGGTAAATTGTGAAGAATTGACGTGGGAAGTGGTGGATGCAACACCTAATTGTGTCACTGGGTCTGCAAACTGAATTCTGTTATATATCCTCTAACCAAACACAACTGTACTTCTCGATCAAAAAAGTTTCCCATATCGAATTACCTTTGTTAAGCCCTTTGGCATTTAAGCCGTATGCAAATGATGTAAAGAAAAGGTGAAATGCGTAAATTACAGTGTCAACATTACAACGCCCACTTTGGTAAAAATTCGAATCGCTTTTTTCGGTGTCCCGCCGTGAAAATGCATTATGCACAAGGGAAAGCGAAACCCAATACCAATGGTAAGGGTGCACATTATGCTGTACAAGTATGTAAATTTCGCTAAGCTGTTGAATCGCGCCCCGCTTTTGACTTTCGGGGATGTATAACCCCTTTTGTGGAGTTACCAAACCGAGGTGGTAGTGTTGGAAAACATATTTCCGTGGCTGACAAACTGGACATGACAGCTTGTACATCTCGTACATCTCGGCCCTGTCATCAATCATCAATCACGACGGAATGAAGAAGGGGTGGTCTGTGTCAAAAACAATGTAATCATCACGGCTTACAGCGGATCAGCAGCTGTCACTTGTACGCAGAGCGACTTGTAGTACAGTAGAGCCACTCAAAGGATGTCCCCGTGTGGTCCTGATTGAACATTGTCAATACTCGTAATCGCAATGTTTATGGGCTGTCATCCCAAGCGCAAAATATTTATCACTCTGCCAGAGTTGCATCCTCTCCACTGCATCAAAATCAACCCCTAATAATAGGGTATTGTGCAACTGCATTTCGGGAGTTTTGAATGCATTTCGAATCGCTTTCGTCCAGTTTTTGACCCTGCCTTTGAAACTGGCCAATGCAAATGCAAATTCAAGCGGAATAAATGATGCATCCCCCTCTCCACACGTTTGCAGAAAGCCGCCAGTTAATTACAGTGTATTTTGTTATTTCCTCTTCCCCTGCCTACCTTTTTTTTGTTCTTTATCGTTCTTGATTGCTCACACACATATATTCCATCAAACTTCCGTTGCATTTGCGTTTTTGTTTGTTTTTATACCCTTCTATTGGGGTTCGTTGCCGCTCAAATTCTTTTTGGTAAAACTATTTGTTTGGTTTCTTTTTTTACAAGTTCAATATTTGTCAATTTTGTGATAATAGCAGTCATTGACTTGAAAATTGATTTATAATTGTTTTGTTTTTATTTTATGGGTGGGTTTTGTATTCGATGTCGAAAATGTTCCTATGTAAACATATGTTTAGAATATTTGATTTAGTAACTTTTGCTAATAACATTTTTAAAGGGTATTCAAAACTGAAATTTACCTAAACTAGCCCTCTTTTTGTTTGCATTCTTTATTTTGCAATATACTAAACTTCCGTTTTGCATTGTCGTTGTGTGTCTGCTATTGTCAACTCTTTGTTGTCAGAGGTTTTTTCAGCATGTATTCATGTCAACTTGATTCGCACTGAAAACTCAGTCAGTTCACAGACAACAATCAAATAAAACCGAAATTAATTGCAGCAACTAAATTGTGTTTAAGCCAGGCTGAGCACCTTCCTGCCTCAGTTTGTCGGCAAATAAACAAAAATGGCTTAATAATTAAAAACCATTTTTCTCTCGTAAGCCAAATGCATTTCAATTGTCGCCAAATGTCATTAGGTGGGCGACGCATTTGGCTGTTGACATTTGGGAAACGTCATAAATAATTTATAACAGACTTTTGCGTTTTAGCCATTGTTTGAAAAGTCTTGAAAATGGATTTTATGGATCTTGTACTTGATTGCCAGCTTGGGTTTTTATTTGCTTATGTGCCAAGTTGGTTTTTTATGCAAATTAAAGTGTGCCACTTAATTTATTTTGAACGATCAGATAAGCATTTAAATTAATTAAGGTCCAAAGTGATCGGAATCAAGTTGTTTTCAGCCGATATACAAGTTTTTGTCTGATTAGTAAGTTAATGTCATCTAAATATCATGAAGCGAAGGTAAATCACACAAGAGATAATGCTAAATCAACAAATTTGGGACAATAAATTGAGTGCTGACTATGAGATTAGGTGATGACCGAATATTAAATGAACATTGGTTTATCTTGGTGTTAAAGTGTTGGAACATGAGTATTAAATTATCTATGAACATGTGTAAAGCTTAAATGTAGAGCTCTCTCTTAAGATAGAATTAAAAAGCAACAATCTTTTAATGGTATGTTTGGTACCAAAATTATTTGGTGATTGAAATCGGCGAAGAACTCATTCAATCAACACTCATTGTTTTGAGGCTTACTAAATTTTTTCCTTTCATTATAATTTTTCTTCAGCTGTCACTTATCCATCAACGGAGGGAATCAAATTTCAATTAAATTCTCAACTTGAGTTTTCATTCAACTCTTTCCTTCGCTTTACGACAAAGCACAAACATTTTCTTCACTAGAATTTTCTTTTCAGTGATTTCTTTTCCTTATGCATTTCCCGTACAACCAACAACCTTTTCTCCACATGACTTCCCCTCGTTTTTTACTTGAAAAATGTCGCTGAGGTCAATGGATGTGCACAAAAGCCTTAATTCAATTTGATTTCCATTAGGGTAAACGCATTGCGTGGAAAACTCTTCAGACCGTAATCAGTTCAAATTAATTAAAAACTAAAAATAATAAAACTCAGACGAAAAGAAAGCAAAACACGAACCAAAAATGCACTGCAATGTGTTTGTGTTTACAAAGGCAACAATGGAAAGTGCTTCAGCTCAAGTGGAAAACAAAAGCTAAATGAAATGAATTTTCAAACCGATGAGGGGGTTGAAACAAAACCGAATTTCAAAGAGCAGCGTCGGCGGCAGCTGGCCAAAAGGGGAAAAGGCGAGGGAAAAAGGGGAAAAGGCACGTGGCGCATGCGCAGGACCTCGATTTGGGTCGGGATCATAAGCTGTTACATCCAGCCGTTTGTCGAAATACAGTTACAACCTGAGATTGATTGGTAAGAGCAGAGGGGATGAGGATCCGAAGTGACAGACTGTGACGAATTGCCTCGAGCGGATGTTTTTTTGCCTGCGATCTTTTTTCGGGATGCTAATGACGACGAACCATTGATGTAATGTCCTTTGCCTGTCAGCGGGTATTGGCCTCATATTTCTCTATCCGTTGTCTCTCATTTTCCCTTGCAATTTTACACTAAATCAGGCAATTTTTTACCCAATTCTTTGTGCTCATTGTTTTCATTTGACACTTTTCGGATTGATTGGTACAAAAAATAGCACAGGGACAGGGAGAATTAGTCAGCTTATTGCCTATACGAAATCCTTTTTTTGCGGTTTAGGTGTGCTCGTTTTAATGCGATTTAATGGCAATTTGGGCACCTCGGGTAATTTTAGGCAATTCATTTACCCCTCGACACATTAACGGCAGCTGTTAAAACTTTACAACTCAGCACGCGACAGTTGCTTGTCTTTTCCTTGCCTGATCCTGCTGTGAACTCTTCGATTTCAGACCCAACATATGGGACCTAATCGATGGTAGTTTCTGGGGAAAATTCCTGACCCGAACCGCAGTTGATTTTAAGGCTGGTAGCGAAGCGCAAAGACCGTTGATCCATTTTGCACGCACTGCTGCCTCGAAACTGAAATCGAACTGCACTCAACGCAAGCCGCATATATAGTATATATGGTATGTACATATCTCTCAGATGCGTGGCAATCAAAATGATGATGTGAAAATATTTGCTCATCAAGCATGTCGTCTTGGCTTTCAGGGGAAGACCTAATGGCTCCATCTTGGCAACAGGTGAACAGGCTGCCGAATTTCTTTCTTTTGACCCTAATTGTCATGGGCCACTGAAGCGCAGCGCCCAAGA